GGACCTACTGTATAGCACAGGGAATTCTACTCAATACTCTGTAATAACCTATATGGGAAAAGAATCTAAAGAAGAATGGACATATGTATATGTATAACTGATTCACTTTGCTGTACACCTGAAACTAACACAACATTGTAAATCAACTATATCCAATAAAAATAAAATAAATTAAATTAAATATGATACAAATGAACTTACTGACAAAACAGAAACAGACTCATAGACATAGAAAACAAACTTATGGTTACTGAAGGGAAAAGGGGAGAAGGGATAAATTAGGAGTCTGGTATTAGCAGGTACAAACTACTATATATAAAATAGATAAACAACGAGGTCCTACTGTATAGCATAGGGAACTGTATTCAATATCGTGTAATAAACTATAATGGAATATATATGTCTGTGTGTGTGTATATATACATGAAACTGAATCACTCTGCTGTACACCAGAAACGAATACAACACTGGAAATTAACTATACTTCAAGAGAAAAAAAAATGTGTTTTATTGCCCAGAATGTGGTCTATCTTGAATGTTGCATGAGCTTGAGAAGAAATGTGTATTCTGTTGTTAAGTGAGGCAGTCTACAGGTGTCAATTATATCCAATTGATAGATGGTGTTATTGAGTTCAATTAGGTTCTTACTGATTTCCTGCCTGCTGGATTTGTCCATTTCTGACAAAGAGGTATTGTAGTCTCCAGCTATGATAGTGGATTCATCTAGTTCTCTTTGCAATTTTATAATTTTCGCTTCACATAATTTGAGGCTCTATTGTTAGGTATATACACATTAAGAATTTTTATGTCTTCTTGGAGAACTGACCCCTTTATCATTATGTAATGCCTTCTTTATCAGTGATAACTTTCCTTGCTTTGAAGCCTGCTTTGTCTGAAATTAATACAGCTACTCCTACTCTCTGTTGACTAGTGTTACCATAGTATATTTTTCTCCATTTACTTTTTTTTTTTTTTTTTTTTTTTTTTTTTTGCGGTACGTGGGTCTCTCACTGTTGTGGCCTCTCCCGTTGCGGAGCACAGGTTTCGGACGCACGGGCTCAGCGGCCACGGCTCACGGGCCCAGCCGCTCCGCGGCACGTGGGATCTTCCCGGACCGGGGCACGAACCCATGTCTCCTGCATTGGCAGGCGGACTCTTAACCACTGCGCCACCAGGGAAGCCCTCTCCATTTACTTTTAATTTATATGTGTCTTTATAATTAAAATGGGTTTCCTGTAGACAACAGACAGTTGAGTCTTGTTTTCTGATCCAATCTCTGTCTTTTAATTGGCGCATTTAGACCATGGATGTTCAAAGTGATTACTGATATATCTGGAGTAATACGTACCATATTCATTACTGTTTTCTATTTGTTGCCCTTATTCTTTGTGCTTATTTTTATCTTCTACTCTTTTTATGCCTTTTGTGGTTTTAATTGAGCATTTTATGATTCCACTTTCTTTCCTTTTTCAGCATACTGGTTATACTTTTTAAACTTTTCTTAGTGGTTGCCCTGTATTCACCTCTCTCTCCAGCCTTGCTGGCAGTGGTTTGCCTGTGTGCTCCCCTCTCTTATAGAGCAAAGAAGAGTTGAATTTTCAGTCTGTTTGTGTTTCACTTGTTAGGTCACAGTGGCAACTTTCAAGCTCCTAAACATGCAGAACAGAAAACCTCAAGCTACAGAACTTATTAAAATACATTGATAACTAGACCAATCTCACACAGGAAGCCTTTAGGTTAAGCATTTGACTCGAGTCCTGGCAATCTGACTAAGCCTTGGCCCTGTGTAGCTCTAAACTGCTCAAAACAAAACAGTTTGCATCCTTCTACAACATGCCTTGGAATTAATTAAATCTTAAAATTTTCTAGTTGGAAGGGATTCCATGCTCTAACATGGCATTTCAGACCTCTCTTTCAGAACATGACATATTATAATAGTTGTTTTATTTCTTTCTCACATTACAGGCTGAGAGCATAAAGTCTATATTCATCTTATATCCAGTTTACACAGAACAGTCTGTGGGCCATAATATGAACATACTGCTTATTGAATGAATAATTTAATAATAAAAAACTCTATAGACTCCCCTTCTTCCACCCCCCCACCATGAAGGAATTCTAATACTTAACCTTGGTTAAGTCATAAATAGTATAAAAATTAAGGAAAAATAATGCTAAAGACATTTATTTTTCAAGCTTGGAAATGCCCTCTAAGCTCTGCAGATGAGAGACATACAAACCCTTGATCACTGAGCCTCTCTGAAACCTCAGTTCCTACATCTGTAAAAGAGGATAATAATAATCAATATAAACTATGAGATTATGAATATAAAGCTCCCATGTTACAATACAGACATATAGTAGACACTCAACAAATTATTGTTTTCATTTCATTATTATCGGCATCATCATCAATACTGTTAAACCAACACCTAAATTTCAGTACACAGCAGTCATCTGCTTTGGAAGCTCCTTCAGCCTGACCTGTTTTTTGAGTAAAGGTAAACAAGGTAAAAGTAAAGGTAAACCCTGACTTGGTAAGCCTTCAGGGTTGGACATCATTCTCTGATATTACAGCACAGAAATAATATGCTATAGTAAGAAGGTCTAAACAACCTATTCAAAGTCAAATATCTGAAAGACTTGAGAGTCAGAATAACAAAAAAGATGCAGATAGCGGTTAGTCAGCTAACAACTAACTCAAAGGACAGCAGATAACTACTAACAGACTACGGAAGCCTACAGAACATGAACAGCACCTGTCACCTTCAACCTAATAAACCCCTTTGTCGCCTGGAGGACTTTTTCTCTTTCTCT